GAGAGAGAGAGAGAGAGAGAGAGAGAGAGAGAGAGAGAGTTTGTAAACATAAAGTTAGAAGGAGGTTTTTAAAGAGTGGTGATTTCCCCACTCCTTTTTCTCCTATTTTATCCACTTACACTCCTTTTTTATAACTAAAAAAGGAGTGTAAGTGGATAAAATGGGAGTGGGGAAATCATTGCCCTTTTTAAAACTTAATATAAAGAGTGGTGAGGTGTATGGGGGTGTGTGTATAGATGTACTATGGTTAATTATTAAGTTGGATAACCTTTTTTGTCTTTTTATACAATAATAAAACTTACAGCTTAATTATTTAAGTATTGGGGTGAACAAAGAGAAGTGCGGGGTTTAAATAGAAAATCTCTTTTTCAATTCCTCCCCAAATTTTAGCTAAGAAGGTGATTTAAAGAGCCAATTATAATACTCTAAGTACATTCATAAGCATATAGTACAAGGCCCATTCATAATCTTGTTGTTTCAATCAGTCTTTGTTACAAATCATAAAATAATTGAAGAACACGTGATACAACCTTGCCAGCACTTTACCCTGCTTCGTCGGGCATTTTGGCAGTTAGGCTTCGTCTTCAACCTCTTGCATTACCTTCTGCATTTCTAAACCAAAAAACTAGGGATACAGAGTGAGTTAGTTCACTCCAATTAAGGCATCGTTTGGTTTTCCAAAAATGTCACTCACCTCCATTTTCCTTCTCCTCTACTTCTCTCTCTTCACCTTCCTCACCACTCACTCCAAACCCCATCTCCCTTCCCCATACCTCTCACCCACCACAATCTTCCCAAACTACCAAAACATGCTCAAATCTTTCAAAATATTCATCTACAACCCTAACACGCCCTTCACCTTCAACTCTCCATCTCAGTCCCTCTTCTACACCACTCTGACTCTCCAAGATAGCGCCTTCGTCACCCAAGACGCCGAGCAAGCCCACCTCTTCTTCGTCCCCTTCCCTTCCGATCTCTCCACGCGCTCCATCGCGCGTCTCATCAGAGGCCTTCGCAATGATCTTCCCTACTGGAACCGCACCCTCGGAGCTGACCATTTTTACCTGTCCTGTGCCGGTATCGGGTACGAATCGGACCGAAATCTCGTCGAGCTCAAGAAAAACTCGGTCCAGATCTCGTGCTTTCCGACGCCGGCCGGTAAGTTCATACCTCACAAGGACATTTCCCTCCCTCCGCTCGCGAGCTCTCACGCACCAACAAACAAAACGACGAGGTTTTTGGGCTACGCCAGGTTCAATTGGCTAAAGGAGTCAACGCTGGTCAACGAATTGAGCAGCGACCCGGAGTTTCTGATCGAATCCGAACCGTCGGATCTGAATTCTTATGCGGAGAGAATCGCCAGCAGTAAGTTCTGTTTGTTCGAGTATGGAGGAGGCGACGTTTCGGGTATCGGCGAGGCGTTGCGTTTCGGGTGTGTGCCCGCGGTGGTTACTGACCGTCCGATCCAGGACCTGCCGTTCTCGGACGTGCTGAGGTGGCAGGAGATCGCGGTATTCGTGGAACGTAGAGGGGTTGGGGAACTAAAGCGTGTGCTGGCTCGCACGTGCGGGGACCGGCATGAGAAAATGAAGGGGTTGGGCGTGACTGCGAGTCGGCATTTTGTGTGGAATGAGACACCGCAGCCGTTGGATTCGTTTCATACGTTGATGTATCAGCTGTGGTTGAGACGGCACACCATCAGATACGTGCGGAGAGAATCGGCTTAGAGATTCTTATCGCTGTTGGATGATGATGTACGGATGGAATGAATTTTGTCAGTTTGTTTAGAGAGTATATGTATGTATGTAATTTCAACTGATTGAGATTCTACCCACCGCTTGATATGGTTGGGAACTTGGGTTGAGCCCACATCATGAAGGACAAGCCTTTCACAATTGATGGATGGGACTCGAGAGGCACAATGTATTAGCCTGTACGTGGTTAAGTTTGGTTCCCTTTTTGTTTTTTGGTCAACCAAATGTAATAATCATAATTCCGATTGGTTTGGTAACGTCTCAAATAACTAAATCAAACTATTTACTTAGTGTCCCATTTGGTTTGCTTATTTATTTTCATAAATAATGAAACAAAAATTATATAGTTTCATGGTACACATAACAGAATTTATACATAAAATTAAACAATGCCTGGACAAAATTTCTTAGGTTTTTTAGGTTTTAGACATAAAATTTTTTTCACTTTTGTAAAAAGCCAAAACTTTTTTAAAAAAGACAAAAAAACCACTCAACTTTCAAATCAAATACATGCAAATGTATTGGATTCCTTAGGAAATCTAAAAATAAATAAGGGCATTTTTGTCCATTTTTGCTTCTTTTAAAATTTTTCTCTCTCCTTTTGCTTTTTCCAAAATGTCCCATTGTTTCTTCAAATAAGGTTCTGAGATCGAATCATAGCATTTGTTTAGTGTGTATGAGCTTAGCATATTAGAGCATCTCCAAGGGAGATGTCAAATACCAAACATTAAATTTAAATTTGATGGCTAATGTGGCTGCCCAGATCTATGATTGATCTAGAATTCCCCGAGACGAGACGAACTGTCGATTCTCCGATAAATGTCAATGACTTAACTTAAACATCCATGAAGGATTGCTGAAAGAGAGTGAGACTCCCTCTACAGGAGTCGAATGAATCGGACCTTCTGATGGAATGTGTATAGTAAGGCGTCTAGCGATACCATTTACATTTGTAGGAATGCATGGGACTACTTTCTATAAAGCACTTTAGGTGGCTCTACCACTTCCGTAGGCAGCCGGAGGAGCTGAATAGGCGGCAGGAGGAGGAGCAGCTACATTTGACATTTTATGGTATAATTGAAATTTGGACAGTGTTTTTATTTAATTTTATTAATTAAGGGTTGAATCATTATTTGCCGTTGGATGGAATCTAACGGCAGGGAAACAAAAAAAAAAAAAAAAAAAAAAAAAAACCTGCGAATAAGATAGTCGGAAGAATCCAACGCACTGCGAAGTGGTTTGTTTCGGTCGCTCGTCATCACCATGTCTTGTTCCTTACTTCCTTAGTTTTCCACCTTTCAACCCCAATCCCATAATCTTGTTCTGCATAAATACCCATCCTTTATATATATATATGTAACTTTCTATTTGATTCAGATCTAAACCAACCCAAGTCGCCATGGGAGAAGGTAAATACAACACAACCACCATCTCCTTCTTCTGCTATCCATATGTTGCTGTTCATGCCTCTGGTAGTGGTATTAAATTATGCATGTCTGACTTTTGAAGGTGGCGATGGCTCTTCGAAACCAACTCCTTATGAAGAGGCATTAGATGCTTTGTCCTCCTTAATCACTAAACGCAGTCGTGCCGATACGAGCAACAACGGGGACTGCTTCGAACTGCTATCTGACTATCTCAAAGTAATTTTCTTTACTTCCCGAATTACATACTTTCATATTTGAACTGATATCTACAAGTAAATTCATGGCAAATGGAACCAAAAATTCAATTTGTGTAGATACTAGAGTTAGAGGAGCCAATTTCACAGTTGAAGATTATTCATGTGGCTGGCACCAAAGGAAAGGTACTCATTTTGCATCTTCTTGTTATTATTATTTTTTCTTAGAGAATCCAAATAATTGTACTTTGGTATGAGAAAGTGAACCAACTCTTGCTTTGTGTATCAATCTCACCACGGTAGCAAAGTTTTTGTTTTGGTCATTCTCCAGTTTTTCTACCATGCTCTTCGAATTTTTCTTCTAACTGATTAAACAAGATAGCAATTTTTTTTTGTACAAATTCTGTTTTCCTGTTTTCAGTTCTTAATTTATCTTTCACAGAGCATCTCTTTGTAGTGTGGTTTTGTACTTAGACTGGCTTAGTCACTTATTGCTGTATGATATGGGACTCATTATTCTTTTCTTCTTTTTGGGCGTTGCAAAAGGGATCTACCTGCACCTTCACAGAATCAATATTACGCCATTGTGGCTTTCGCACAGGACTTTTCACATCTCCTCATCTCATTGATGTTCGAGAAAGATTTCGTTTGGATGGGTGAGTTTCATATTAGCATGGATGTAATATTATATAACTTCCATGTTAACAAGTAAATTTTATGTATTATCATTATTATTTTATGTTTCTCTTTGCACTATCGTTTTTATTTGAAATTCAAATAAAGCTATCATTTTTGAAGAAGTTGCTCGATTGTTATAGTTATCAAGTCATTGTTCATCTGTTCCATTTCATGTTTGCGTGCTTATTGCAAGTTTTGGAACTGCTAAAGTATCTAGTGCTTTTTGTTCTTTGAAGTACAGAGCATAGTGAATTTTTATTCTGTCTGTTGCCTTCTAGATTTGTCCTTGATTAAATTTTCTTGTTCTCGTTGGATGTTACAGTGTGGACATCAGCGAAGAGAAATTTTTAGCATATTTCTGGTGGTGTTTTGAGAGACTAAAGGTAATCCATGTTTGATTCATGTTATCTTTGTTGGACGTCTTTTTAACCTTTCTATGCCTGTGTTTATATTTTTGAATTAGCACGTTTTCATGCTACTATATATTGATCAATGTAAAATGTTGTCTTATCTTCTATCCCAAACTTTTTTCTTTCAATGTTTTTGCCTAAATTGTTTAATCATGATGGTTATCTCAAAGTGTGTGTATCTCAAATGCAGGAAAAAGTTAGTGATGATATACCAATGCCTTCCTACTTTCGCTTCCTTGCCTTGCTTGCCTTCAAGATATTTGCAGCAGAAGAGGTTTGATACATATCTTTTTAGTTGCTTTCATCTATAATCCTTCCTGTCCGAACTGTTCTTGATATCAATGGCAAATCAGAATTATTGCTTTTAATTTAATCTTCCATGCAGGTAGATGTTGCTATCTTGGAGGTTGGGTTAGGTGGAAAGTATGATGCAACAAATGTGGTATGTGTAATGGTATTTGAGTACAAATTCCATTAATTCAGTTACTTTGGAAATAACTAAGTGTAGATGCCTTAACATTTCAGGTTAAGGCACCTGTTGTTTGTGGTGTATCTTCCCTTGGATATGACCACATGGAGATACTTGGTTAGTTTTCTCCTTCTCAAACCTACGTAATTACATGTGAGTAATTGATACATTTAATTGAAGATACAATTATAAAGAAACATATGCAAATGTTTTCTGTATTTGCAATGTGACACAATTATCTTTTGGATACTATAATCATGATAAATATAATATATGTTGGAAAATGCTCTCTTGCCTAATAGTTTGGTATGTTATGCTATCGAACTGTCAATTTGGACTATTAATTAAGGGGATTCTTGTTTGAATGTGTGGTCCAAATTGTCTCTTTGACAACATGGCATAGCAGATATCCACAAGAGAACATTTCCCCAAACATGTATGTCTAACACGCATATTTACTCAAGGTTTACACCGCTCTGAAATTAGTTATGTCTAACACGCATGATTGCTTTTCTTTTCTTTGCTGGATACTATACATAGGAAATACTCTGGGAGCAATTGCTGGGGAGAAGGCTGGAATCTTCAAGGTTCTCCTTAAAATTACATTTCCTGAAAGCATATGACTGGCAATATGTTTGACAGAACTTACACTCACTTCCATTACTGTGTCCATTTTTATTTTTCTTTCACTTCAGCCTGGGGTTCCTGCCTTGACTGTGTCCCAACCTGATGAAGCAATGTGTGTACTGGAAGAGAAGGCTTCTGAGTTGAATGTAGGTTGCAGGATGTTACCCTTCATTGATTTATTTTCCCACAGAACTTGAAAATGCATGATACAGTTCTTGGTTCCATATTAAAAGTTTGATATGTTTAAGCGATAAGTGTCCTCTGCTGCTTAAGCCTCAACTTGCGTTGTTTTGCAAACCTAATGATGCTGGTTAATAGAATTGTTTATCAGAAGTCCTAGGGTTCTAAATATAGGTTCATTAATGACTACGAAGTTGCTAAGTCATAATTACCATGTTGGAAGGAACTTGAGGCCTTTCTGTAATTGAGAGATGCCGTTCTTGTACTAGGGTTTGGCCATATTCTAAGGATTTACATAACATCTTTTTCTACAATATCAAGGAAACAATATCCTCAACCGTTTAGGGAGTTAAACTGTGCCAAGTCAAATTTAGCTGTTTTTAATTCATTATTGAAGCAGTTACTTTGTTTTGAGCCAAATAGAAAACAAACAGTACACCTCCTTCAAAGGGCTTAGAAAATCATGCTGGTTCCAGGTACCTCTTCAACTGGTACGACCTTTGGATGCCAATTTACTGAATGGCTTCAAACTTGGGCTTGAAGGGGAGCACCAATATGTTAATGCTGGTCTCGCTATTGCACTGTCCTCTATGTGGCTTCAGAGGACAGGTCATCTTGAAGTCCCATACCCAGAACATACTGTAAGTTCTATGAGCGATCAGTTCTTCTTTTCATTCTTGATTTTTATGTTGATTGATTTATATAAATATTCGGATGGAATAGACCTCTCTGCCAGAGCAGTTCATAAAAGGACTAACTGCTACAGTCAGTTTACAAGGACGGGCTCAAATTGTCCCTGATAACAATGAAAGCCCTGAAGATCTTGTGTTCTATTTGGATGGTGCCCATAGCCCAGAAAGCATGGAAATATGCGCAAGATGGTTCTCTGTTTCCATTAAGGATGACTCCCAGGAAAAAATCTTGAGTTGTCAGCCACTGGATACTTCCAGATCATCACATGATTTGGTACAGAGGAACCCTGATGGAAAATCCAGGAAGAATTCAACACAGGTAGAGCACAAAACTCTTGATCATCACTTAGTCGATGGGCTTTCAATTCCTTTTTTTGCTAGGTATTTGTATCCACTTTCTTGTGCGATTTTGTGCTTTATAGGGTGCATGCTGATTTTATGATTGGATCAGGAGACTTCATCATATATCCAAATTTTCAATTTACATTTGGTTTAGAATTAATAGCCTTGCATCCTGAGTTGACATGAACATCTCACTGGGAAGATTAATTTTTTTATAAATAGTCAAATATGTTTTTTAATATTATAGTATTAAAAATCAAGCCTTGGAGATGCTTCATTTTCTTCTTGCTATTACTGAGAAAAAATTCTTGAAAACTATATGCAGATACTGCTGTTTAATTGTATGTCAGTGAGGGATCCTCAGTTGCTTCTTCCAAACCTGATGAAAACATGTGCTAGTCACGGTGAGCATCAAGGAGCATTATTTGATGCGATTTCCTCAATTTTTGTAGAGAAATATTACCATCCAGTAAACTTTAAAGATCTAAAATGAATTTATAGATTAAGAATTCTTAGTACGTAAAAATGATAAAGTGCATGGAATTTAGATCCGCAATGAGTTTATTGGTGATGAACTTAGAGTATGGATAATTTTACTCTTGATTGGTGTCAGAACCTTAATTGTTGATCGGATTTTCAATAAAGTTTCTGTAAATACAGTTTCTATTTTCAGAGGAATTTATGGCACTTTGGTTGATATCTTAGGTGTCTACTTCAAGAAGGCTCTATTTGTACCAAACACGTCAGTGTATAACAAGGTGGGTTCACATTCCTTACCTGCGACAGATTCTCAAGTTGATTTGTCATGGCAGTTCGCTCTTCAAAGAGTTTGGGAAAACCTAATGCTGGGTGACAAAGGTAAGTGAGTTATAACATAAAATGTCAATTAAGTTGTTCTCTTCTCCCTTGGTTTTCAATCAAAATGTACGTGGATCATAATTCTGGGGTGCACTGTAGGTTCTTTGTATTTCTCAGTCTGAAGTGTTTCTCTTTTTTAACTTTAGCAGGAGGTGATGAGAAGAGCACAGGCGCTGTTTTTGAAGAACTAACAGATGATACGGAAATGGCTGTCAGAAGTTGTGAAAATAGTGCAGTCTTCCCCTCTCTCCCGTCAGCTATAAAATGGCTCAGGGACAGTGTCCGAAAAAGGCAGTCTGTTCGTTTTCAGGTAATGCTATGCATTGTGTTTCTTATGATCATATACGATTTTTGGTGACCTTGAAATGTATAAATCTTACTCCTGCTTCTATCCCGAATTCAAATATTTCTGGTGTACTTATCAGGTCCTCGTAACCGGTTCTTTACATCTCATCGGTGATGTGTTGAAATTAATCAAGAAGTGAGGCGTAGTACCAAGCTGAAGCCCCCTATTTGCATGTCCTTCTAACTGCAACATGTTCTGGTATTCATGAAGTCATGGGAAAAAGCCGTGGACCATTCTAACTCCTCCACTGTGGTTAAATGCTGACGGGCTTCTATTCTACAGCTGTGTGTTCTGAAATGCTGCAGATTTCAAGTTGGGTGCGTACAGTTGAATCAAAGATAGTGACTTAAATTTACGCGGCATTTTGTTTGAGAGTCGGTTAAACCACAACACCTTATTAAGGTCATTGACTTTTCAATTCTTTGTCTGACAGATTTCTTGAATAAAAGACAATAAGTTTGCAAATTCAATTGTGTTCTTTAGAAGCAAATCATTTTAACTATACACCCCTTAGAATTCTCTCATAACGTACAACAAAATTCCCAAACCACGATCCTGTACTTGTTTCGACTCCAATATGATCCTGCACTCATATCTAAGAGATTTTGTGGGCGAGCAAGGAGTTCAAAGGGAAATCAGGTAGACAAAGCAGCTTGAACACTACAGGGAAGAAAAGGGAAAAGAGAAAAAAATAAAAACTGCATAATAGCTGAAACATCGTACTCGTGATTGTTCACCGAAATCAAAGGTTTCATTCATTAGCATGAAATGATCACATCTGTACATGTTCACAAACTCTACTTCCTATAACACTTGCATTTCTACCTTTTTTCTTTTATCCCCACCCCACCGGCTGAGAGCGGCAATTCTAGTCTACCTATAGAACAAAAGCCCACTGATGAAGAGCAAATTATAAAACAGAAACAACATACATATCCCAAATCCACAAAAATAAAAATTGAAACAATAATACAATCTTCACCGGTGCTCAAAGCAATTGCCGGAGCTGCTGGTTTTCTTTCCGGAGAGACTTAACTTCTTTCATCAGCTCAGCTTGGTTTTCCAGAATTGCACTCATCACATTTGACGTTTCCATCTGTGTAATGGTTCCAGAAAATGAATGACGAACTAAACGAAAACAAAAAGAGAAGAAGAAGATAGCAGTTGCATACCTCTTGCATATGAAATTGTCTTAAAATTTCTATATGAAGGTTCCTCATATCTTCGTGTATGGATTTCTGAAAACAATCAAGAGTTTCTTCCAGAGTACGTTGAAAAATCTGAAATGTAAAGGAATTTCCCTGCTGTGGATCTTGCTGAGGCACATTTTGGAGATGTGAACTTCCACCCTGTCACAATTATTGTCGTTCAGTAAACTATAATAATCTAGTATCAATATAAAAAGGCAGCATGATAAACAACTGTGATAGCTTCTCCTAATGGATTCTATTACTGGTTTCCAATTTGAATGGCAGCATAAAATCAAAAGCACTCATTTCAAGCGGGACCCCATTTGTTACTAAGAACACAAAAAGTGAAAGCATGTACCATGCCAAAGCACTAAAATAATCTTTCCTGCTCTATGTTGTTTTCTTTTTTTCTTTTTTTTGAAATAGCCTATTTAAATGCAAAACCCGACAATCATTTATCTATCCAACCAAAAAAAAAAAAACAGATAATTACTTTCTAATAAGTATGTTATCCATACATTCATTGCTGGAAGAATCCCTGATTCTGTGGCAGTTGATGAATCTGACTTTGACAACAAGCTGTTCAACAGTTCTTCTCTGCCTTCAGCTCCAGTTTTCTTTGTTTTTGGTGAACCAACTGCAAGGGATGTTCTGTCATTGTAGGAAGATGTAGTGCTTATCCTCTCTGCATAAGTAGAGAATCTCCGAGGCAGGGCCAAAGATGTTGGTGAATCAAGGTGCCCCATGATGCCTTTGTTACCAGGGGACATAGGCATGGCACTCGAGGAAATGTGTTCTGGAAATCCTAATGAAGTCTCCTGATTGGAAGACACATCTTTCGTGCGCAAGTTCGGATAACTTGAGCCTAAATTTGCAGAAGAGCTAATACTAGTAAGACTTGCTGTTAAGGACATATCCGGTAATCCAGATAAAATTGATCCTGACGTCTGAGCCGACATCCCAAAGCGAGATGGAAAAGTGATTGGTTGACGCAGGTGAGTATACTTATCGGATAATCTCTCACCACCCCAAGCTTCTGGAGGGGTGATGGATGAGTCTTCACTCTTGGAAGATGGAGCAGGAGTTGATTCTAGTAGTGCAAACGACGATTTGGTGTCATCCTGCACCAAGGAATAAAGCAAAATCATCATTCAGAACAATGTGTCATCCTGCACCAAAGTTGCTCATTATAGTTCAAAATATGAATATTTGCATTACGCATTCATCCAAGAAAGCTAAAGATTTGGATAGGTGAGACCTGTTTAGAACTTGAGCTGGGCTTCCAGTCAAATATTGGATGATCAGTTGCCCCATCCTCTGCAAAAGGGAATCTCCTACTGGACGAAGGAAACAAAAGTGAGGAAGGCTTCTTATCTGCAAGCAAATGGTCCTTCTTTGATCTGTCATGATCATCCCACAGCTTGTCAAGTGTAGGTGTGATTGGATGGACATCCACAAGAGGGGAGAACACCTCCATATCATCCTTGAAGTTATAAGTAGATCGAGGAGCATGCAATCTAGACAATGTTCCACCTGGCCATAAATGGCCTCGATGTGGCGTCTCCTCTGCAGTAGATACATGAAGTGTGCTTGAAGTAAATCCACTGCCAGCTGCTGTAACTGAAGATGTCTCCACAGATAAACTTGAACGGCCTGGATTTCGAGAACTAGATACTCCCATAGATAGAGGAAGGCTTGATGAGGTCACAGAAGGAAGCGGGTCAGGCATAAGTATTGAATCTTCAACAGCATCTCCTAAAAGAGCGGTCTCGACAGTACAATTGCTTTCGTTTACAAGGACAGGTTTTGACCTTTGCCAGCATAGACTTGTAACAGCCTGATGAATACTGTAAACGATTAGTACAAACAGAGTTAAGAATTTTGATACAAGAAAAAGTTGAAATCTATTGGCTCAACAGAACCATGTCATTCATGTAGACTGCTAGTTAAAAGCTAACGACCTATTGTGTGTCCCTATGAGAACATCCTTGTGATAAATCCACCTAACCAGGGTTGGTAGAAAGTTCGAATCGGGACATAGAGACAATATATATGTCCCTAACCCTAATGGTAAGGCATCTTGATCCTTAGTGATGACAAACTAACAACAGCGTAGTGTTAAATGAAAATGGTAGAAAACAAATTGCCAAAACTTTTAGAGACAACACAAGTTTCTCCAAAATTCGCATGTTTTAGAGATAAAGCACTTTAGTTCTATTAAGCTGCTGTTCAAGGAACAGTGCCCTGATTATGCAGGACAAGAATGCGTTCTGTATGAGGATGCGCCAACACTATGCATCAGACAGTGATGGGGAGGACCACAAAAAGGAGAGAGAGAGAGAGAGAGAGAGAGAGAGAGAGACCTCTGAACTACTATAAGCACGAAGAACGGTGAAAGGTTCTGGTTTACCACGGACATCATAGAACACCACACGACCACTGCTTGTTCCAGCTGCCAGTACCCAGCCATCATCTCTAAATGCCAATGAAGAGAAAGGTGCCTCATAGGAAATACAAGATGAATGTCGTCTAGACCCTGAGTCGTAAGTATACAACTTCTTATCAAGCCCAACAGTAGCAATCATCTGTCAAGAGGAAAATATTTTCCATATCACAATGCTTAATCTCTCTCCAGACATTCTGACCCTTAGAAAGCTTCACTATTTCATAGAAAATGATAGAATAGCCTTCATCTTAAACGTAGTGGTTCAAGTCGGCAATCAATCAGAATCAAGAAGAAAAAAAAAGGAACCCCCTCGGCCAAGGAACCGACCTGAAAGGAAACATTATGGACTGCAATATGTAAAGTTAAGGTGTACTTATCAGACCTTGTCATTAGATGGTGAGAAACTGATACCAGCAGTTGGCGCAGAATGCTGCTTCAACCAAGAAACCTGCATAAAAAAGGTTTGAAAAAGAAAGAAAAGAAGAAAAACCAGTTTAGTTACAAACACAAAATGAAAAACTAAGAGAAACAAGAATCAGTAGGAAAGAAATACAGGAAGTTTGTCAAAGGGTAAATTTGACAGCTAATGTTATCAAAGAACAAGATCAATGCTTCCTTTGGGTTTGGGAAGAAGGAACAATTGGACAAAATACAGAATGAAAATTCTCTCTACTTCAAATATGACTGTTTCTATCACCAAAATGAAAGCCTGTTTTCCATATATAAATAAACTGGGAACAAACTTCTAATTTCCATTGACCCAAACGGAAATGTAAACCCAAAAGACCAAGAAAACTCAGTAAAGCATTGATGTTGGTACTTCTTTTTTGTTTTTGTTTTTTTGGAATAAACATGTAGAGAGATTCATTAACATACTGCAAACCTTTGGGCTACGACCGGTTGTGTCCCACAAATGAGCAGACCCATCATCACCTGCTGTCACCAAAAGGTGTCGGCTAATCCGGGAGTAGTCAAGCACTCTCAGTACCTGGTCTTAAAAACCAGCAAATAACCAATTAGCTCAGAAACCAGGGACTCAAAGCCACAAAGACCAGGGTAATAATCAGCGGAAAGATGCAATGAGAAGACAACCTGTCCATTAGGGTCCTTGAGTTCAGCAGTCCTTGCACCAGATGTAAGGTTGTGAAGTATTAAATCCCCATCAACACTAATGGAAGCTAAGTGCTCATCTTTGCAATTGTACATTGCACCCGTAATTGTACTAGAATGACCCCTCAACCATTTAATACAGCGCTTTCTTTGCAAATCCCATATTCTTACAACCTGACCACTTCCACCAGAACATATGTATCTAGAAACCTTGTTACTGAAGCTGAGAGCCAATATAGACTCCTGCATAAATAGTTCAACCAGCAGAACATCAACTACTAAACCAACCCAGTCTTTCAAGTACTATTATCTCCACTGTCACACCATTTTAACACACCATGTCTATTTGAATTATATAATTGTGATTGAATTACCTCAATGTTGTCTCCACTGTCGGTTCCAGCCACAGGAATGGTGCCCATGCTCTTCCCATTCTTATTCCACAAGGATATCTTCTTATCATCTCCAGCACTAGCCACCACCAAATCTGAAAAATCACAACCCACATTGATTAACAAAACAAATGCAGGATTTTTTTTTTTTAATTTAAAAAAAAAGAACTTTATGATTATTTTCTCCTAAAACTTTCTCATTTACAAAAACCTTGATAATATTCAATTCTTACAAACATAGATAACAAAAATCAAAACCAACACTATGAAATCCATAACCCATCATCCCATTGAGAGAGAGAAAGAGAGAAGGTAGTGACTGACTGGTGTGGTTCCACTTAAGCGAATTGACATGGGAGCCAGGAGAAGGAGTGTAGCTCAAAACGCAGGGATCGCCGGACTTGACCGAGACATCAAAGAGCTTGACAGTGTCACCTCCACTTGCTGCCAGTAACGCCATCGATGGATCCAAACCTGAATTCATATTCATTCTCCCTCTTTCTCCCCCAACTTTCCCGATTTGGTTTTTCTTTCCTTCTTTTTTCTATTATCTCTTAATGAGAAGCTATACCTAACTCCACATCCAATTTCCCGGAAAATCCAGTGATTGGATTGTCGGGATTTTTGAGAGTGAGGTCGAAGAAATTATGAAATGGAAGAGTTAGTTTTTATCTTTATTTATTTGTTCACCTTCTTATTTTTTAAAAAAATTTGGGTTTTGAAATGAAAACCCTACTGAAATCGAAAAAGAGGGCGAAATTTAAATGAGAAAGAGAGGTAATTCATGGCCCGCGCCCATGAGCCCATAATTATTTATTTATCTTTCCTTTTTTCTTTGAAATTATTATTATTTTTTTTTGGAGAGGGTATAAAACAAGAGTTTAAAGTAAATTGTTTAAGGCTAAAATGCAGCAATGATCCCTTGAATCAAGACCCGACTTTATATTTCGTCCTTGATCTAAGGCATTGAGTTTTATGACCAATAAGGCGAATAAAAATTCAAATTTCGGCGAACCACAGCAGACGTGAACTTGGCTTTTGCAGACAAACGAAACCAGGCAGCTTCATACGGATTATGTATCCGCAACAACAAAAAATACGGATTATGCATTGCAGAATCAAACCCAGATCAAGCATTTCCACCCTTTCCACATTTCCACAAGCAACTATTTGCTCATTCAAATTCCTCTTTTTTGAAGAGGATATTGGCAAATTGTTGGCCACAAATTGGCCATATCTGTCTTCTTCAAATTGCTTTAAGATTGGAAACAGCAGCAATCATAAATGGTTAGCAACAGGACAGAAACACGAAGCCATGACCTCCATAGTTAGATGCAACATATAGCCACTAATAACAGTTGGACCATCTCTTAACACCAAAATAAGCTTTAACACCAATGAGTAATATTACTAATAATCTGAGAAAACTGAAGACTTCTTTAGGGAGTGAAATGCGGCCATTTCTGTTGGCCTCAATGGAAAGCACAACAATGAGTTGCCAGACCAAATATATGTACACAAATGTCGCAGAATAAAGCATTACAGAGAAAGGTGAACGAAGAAACATAAAATTCTTCTGCCTCAAGCGACTCCAGAATATTTGTCCCGACACCCAGCTTCTATAGCCCCTCCCCAGCTTGAAGCACCGTACTTGGGATCTACTAGAGATAGAGGAAAGTTCTGAGGCTGGCAACCATCATTTCCAGCCAAGTTGCCCAACTAAAAAACGGAAAAAATGTCTGCACGTGGAAAAATAGATATAAAAATAAAAATAAAAGTAAAAAAGAAGACGAAAATGGCCACCAATAGTTGAGTAGCAAATAGCACAATGAGACTAGCATTGCAATTCATGAACACATGATAAAACAAGTCAAATCTACAAAGAATTGCATAACCACGGCGAATAAAGCACAACACCAGAACTACAGGATCTTTTTACGAGCACATGGTTCATAAATAGTTAAAAAGGCTTTTGGGTATGAGATTGGACTGATTGGCCTTCACTAAGAGAAGGCCAAAAATACATGCAGTTGCCTTGTGTTTATGAGATAACATTGATTCTTTCACAGAATTATGTACTAAAAGACCAGCTTCAATAACTTTTCCTTTCCCATGCCTCAATTTGCTCGACTCAAAAAGTGCATCTTCAGCAATTCAAGCAACAATACACGTCAAAATGCAAAATGTGGATCAGCAAGTAACATAAAAACTACTGAGGTATATTTCTAAGGTTGAATCAAACAAGTTACCTTTTCAAAGTAACAACTTAAAAGTGTGGGACTCTTTACAGTTTTCATTTTTCCAAGAAAAGTGGTCCAAAATGCTTGAAAGACAGCTAGGAAACAAGAAAAACATATCTATAGTTTCTTGAAGATGATATAGTAAATCAATGGAACTTAAAATTACAGAGTAAAATAACAGTCACATATGATAGGTAATAACAATCACATATGCATGCACATTTATTTATACACATGCTGAAGAAAAACAGAATTAAAGCAATAACAGAGACAGCATGATACACACACATATAAAGCTAGCAAGCCAATATGCATAATAAGTAATAACATCCACATATGACTGCACAAGCACTTACACAAATGCAAAGTAATAGCATAGACAACATGATGCGAATGCAAAAACATACACATAGCTAGTGGACTCACGGACATGATTAATACCAAAGGAACAAACTGCAACAATAATCAGCTGACCTGGTTCAAGACTGGAGCAGTGGTATTGCAATCATCACATTTTTGTTGACATCATGAACTTTGTTTTTTTCTCGGCTGGCTTAAGAATCTGGAAAGAGCACATTAAGTTCTCATCTACACTCATCATTGCACCAGCATTGTCAAACTCACCACAGTAGTTGGGGGCTGAAAAAATTGTAACAAGTTGCCTGTCGGCAAAGAATTCATAACCATCCTCCACAACCTGGACAAAAGAAAATTTGTTTCAGTTCCAAATGTGTAGCAGTGGCTTGAACAGAATGAAAGGGGGAGGAGAAGGAAAGTCAATAACCTGATGGGCACGACAAACAAGGTCCAAATCATGCTTCATTAAGAACTCTGCCACCTTATCGGGGCCAAATGTATATGAGACTCCTCTGTCATTCATTCCCCATCCCTTAACATCTCTACCAGGATCTGACCAGAGCAAATCACAAAGCAAGCCAGTATCAGGAACAGCAGTTGGACGAGGTAAGTTTCTGATCTGATCCAAGTTTGTCAAATCAGGGGAAAGACCACCATGCATGCATAATATTTTGTCATCTATAAGTGCAGCCACAGGAAGGCAGTTAAAGCTGTCAGTGAAGGATTTCCAAAGTCTCACATTAAATCGCCGCTTGCACTCATCATAGAATCCATATATACGATTAATAGAGGCACATTCATGATTCCCTCTTAGCAGAAAGAAGTTCTCTGGATATTTAATTTTATAGGCAAGCAAGAGGCAGATTGTTTCTAAACTCTGTTTGCCACGATCCACATAGTCGCCTAAGAAAAGATAATTTGCACTAGGTGGGAAACCGCCATATTCAAAGAGCCTTAATAGGTCACTGTATTGCCCATGGATGTCACCTGGAAATAAAAAGGAAAGTTCAGGTCAGACTAAAGTGAAATGACTTCTAAACAACCATCGCCATGGGCTGCAAAGATCAAAATGGCCACTTTATCTAGAGATAATACCTACAATTTTTTTTCTTTCTAAATATCCACAACTCTCAAAGATTTGGACTGATTTACCTACTTGTAACTCAACAGAGTAAAAATCTACGTGGCAAATATTTTTCTGAAATCCTTGTGATGTTGCAAAACAAAACATGACAAGAAATTCCGGTTCAAATTGCCCGAGTCAAATGTTTTACCATGATTTCATAGGAAATCCATAAATCCATAGGTTAATGGGTGAAGTGATCTTTAACTATCTCATACTTCATCAGGCCCTCCTCACCCCTTCCCTGCGAAATGAAAAAGGGGAAAAACATGTGTACAGCCCCATCCACCCTCCCTTCCAAGTTCCAATATGCTTTTGAACATATCCCATTCTCAATGACTAATCAAGATTAGATAATTCCCCAATTATTTTCAATCTAAACGACATTGAATGAACCATTATAGCCTTTATTTCCCCAAATGAAGGTAGAAACCACCATCATTTTCACATGACATACAACCAGGCACATCAAGGATTTCAATTGAATTGGACGAACGATTATAAAGACAAAACACGCAAAAGAACATATAACATCATCAATAAGCCACAATCTATTCACAACGATTACAACCATAACATTGAAGAGGGAGAACAGAGGATAACTTATTTATCAGAACATCTATAACAAAAAATAAAACAGTATATTCACAAAACATATATTATTTAGTAATGTAGCTTGCCACACATAGCTGATTTTCTAAGCTACTTGTGCAAAAAATTTTAGGTTCTCCCTTTCAAAGTAAAACTCTGAAATGAAAAAAAAAATGCAAATGGGTACTCTTAAACCATAATCTCAACCACAAAGAACTTCAACCCTGTGCTTTCACCATCTTTCCGATAAGCAATTTGATATCAGGCATGCAAGGAAAGGGAACCCATTAGAATATATATATATATATATATATATATATTTATTTATTTATATTTATGTATACATATACAAACATGCAAAACCCCAAAAGGGGAAAAAAGTCAATCCAATCTGTTGCGACTCAAAATTTAAAAAATAAAATAGTTCGATAAATTAGCTGCATCAATGTACGTGGGTATGCAAATATGGTACCGCAGATTTTGATTGGGGCTTCCAGCTCGAGCAAATTGGGCTGCTGAAGAAAGATTTCTCTGGAAGCAACACAAAGCTGTTTGATCTCAGACTCCGAAAGCTGAACCTGCTTTCCCGGCCGGGCTAATCGGACCTCCGTGAGCCGTCTGATTATGTCATCGAGTACGGCAGGGTCCATCGCTCCCTGCCCTTGCGAGGCCATTCGATTCGATTTTCAGATCCTCGTTTGAACGGCTCAGATTTCCCGTCAGACACAAAAGAAGAAACCCTAGAAATCCGAATTCGAGAAAAAGGGTCTCTCTTTTTTCTGTCTGAGCTGTTATGTCTACGGAGGCTCTCTCTGTCTTGTATTTGCGCTTCGAATTTGGCTTTTGGTTTGGTGGGTCAATTTTCTCAGTGAATATATTTTATAAAAATAAAAGTAATTTTCTTGGGAAAAAGAGTGGGAGACGGAAAAGGGAAAGCGAACTGGAAAATATGAGAATAAAATAGTGGGTTTTTTTTAATTGGGGAGAAGAAAGCGTCAAAATATTGAAGATGGAAGACGGCTGCAACTCCTATGTGACGGAGGAGTCTATAATATCTGAAAAGAAAATAATGAGTAGGGCAGACGACGTCGTAATCCTCTTCCGCTCACAGCTCTGATCTGAACAATTTGATTGTTACCTGGTTTGGTTGTAGAGAGAATGGGCTTAAATCGTAGGCCCATCCAAATTTGGATGAGTTCGGTTAGGTTTTGGGTACGTCGTTTTGGAATAAAAACTTAGGGCCCGTTTGGTAATGTTTTTAGAGAACATTTTCAGAGAATGTTTTCGTAGAATGAAAACGTATTTTCAGAGAACAAAAACGCATCTGATAGCTTAGTTGAAAACTGTTTTCAGAGAATAAAAATAGTGAAAACACGTCTGGTAGTAATATGTGAAAATGATAAAAACAGTGAAGACGTATGTAACTTTAATTAAAATGCATTATGTTTTCTTTAATACAACATTATGTAATCAATATGTGAGTTTAAAAAAAAAAAAAATAGTACGTACATTATTTTTAAAAAATATTTTTTAAGCATCTTAAAGAATATCATTTAAAAAATAGAATAAAATTCTATAGTATAAAACTAGAATTATCTTTATAAAAAAAAAAATTTAGAAACCTCAACTTGACCTTCGCTTTCACTCTCTGCAAATCCACCCCAATTCTATCATTCCCCCCTCTCTCTCTCTCTCTCTCTCTCCAAAATTGAAGAATCAGATCAACCCCCCTCTTTTCCACTTTCTCTTCATGCTGCGGCACCCTCTCTCTGTCTCTCTCTCACTACAACCTCACCTTCCAATAGCTTCCCAGCTCCCTTTCCTTTTCTTGGACTGAAAATTGATTCGGCCATTAGTTGTTCAACGATGGTGGTTCAATTCAATTGTGTAGAGATTTTGTTGGGTTCGATTGAGTGGCGGTGAGAATCTGGTTCGATGGAGGTGGTGATTTTGATTGGATGATGTTAGTAGTTCAAGCTCTGCGTGTGATTCTCTGTTGGCAGCGTTTGATGGTGGTTTTGGTATGATAGGGAGAGAAGCAACGTGTTTTCAGTGTTGTTTCTTGTGAGAATGAAAACAGCTTTTTTCTGTTTTCTACAAGTAGACGTGAAATTGTTTTTGTTTTCATAAAACGTTCTCTGTGTTTTCTGTTTTTGCCCACCAAACAGGTTTTCTGTCTGTTTTTATTCTCTCAAAATGAAAATGGGCTCTCAAAACATAAACGAACGGGGCCTTATTTTTTTCCCTTTTGAAAAAACGTCTTTGGCATTGACATTTTAAAGATGGGGGTCGTTTTCTTTCTGTATTTGACTTGTTTGTTCATATTTTTCTTGGTTTGTTACTCAAATCACGCAATTTTTTTTATAGGAATTCTCAGAACAACAAAAGAAAGGTGCTATAGGAAAATGAGGCATTTTGTAAAATATTAAATTATTAACTCTTTTGGATGGTCCCTATTGAATTTTATTATTTTAGTTGTTTTTTTGTCATCTCGACCCACATATGGGTTTAGAATGTTGACAGAAATTTTTTGTAGTACAAGCGATAGTTTTAAATTAAATTATAAAGAGATGAGAGTTTCTCACACACACTATCATCGTGTCTTAGGGTTCGAGCATAAGACCACTAGTCTACAAGTTAAGATCATTTTCCATTGGGCTATAACCAGTTGACAAAACATTAAGTGGACAAAACATTAAGTGTAACTTGATTTCGATTTCTTGTACAATAACAAAAGGATTTTTTTTATGAATATCGAAGATCGAAGATGGTTTATTCAAATTTCGGATATTGGAAGGAGAAATATCACTAATCTGTAAGAGTTACAAGCTAACCGGTACAATAACAAGAGATTTTTACCACTCGAATTATACAATAATGTATGGAAATAAATAGATTTGATCATGTCTGTTTTTTATTCTTTGTATTGTGATTAAATCTAAAACTATGTCGTCTTTTAATTTTCCTAAACCCAAAACCCTTGAGCTTTATAACCAAAACGATATCCTTGTGGACAATCACAACAAAACAAGAAGCACAATACATAATCATAAATATAAATATGAAGTTATGGCCTAATAACAACGTAACTGACAAGTGATCATTTCCTATATAAATTATAATAGTCTAAACAAATAATTTAAGCATCCGTGTTAACTTCACAAAGTTTAGCCTGCGAAATCTATGCCCCAAAAAAACTAGGACTAATATTGAGGTGCGAAGAACACAACTACTTTACCGCAAATTCTCATAGGGACATCAAGCCCGAGCAAATTGGGCGGTTTAAGAAAGATTTGTGAGGAACAAGAGCTGCTTGATCTCGGATTCGGTTAGCTGGACCTGCTGGTGGCCTGGCTTCACTGATCGGATACCTCCAAGAGCCGTGTGGTTATATCATCCAGTACGGCAGGGTCCATTGGTACTCCATCCACTTTTGAAGCTGATGCACTGCTGCATTCCGGATCTTTAATCCTCAACGGCTGCCACTTCTCCTGCTCAATAAATAGGAAGAAAGTTTCCTGCATGTTATAGTTGTTTCAATGGAAATGGAAGCAAGATAAATTGGTCATATATTTTCATTATATCTTGTATATAACTTGATCACAAAGTAATTAACTAGCAAAATTTGTCTAAGCCCTGCATCTTCTGAGAAAAGTAGCCAAAACTCAAACACAATATCATCAAGAGAATATTAACACAGGGCGGGACATGACATAAAAACACATACATATGATACTGCAGAGCTACTGCCCCCAAGTGAAGTCGTGCTGCTAGATTCTGGAAACGAACAAGATGGCTCTTGCTGTTGTGGTTTCGTATCCACGCAACCAGCAGCAGCAGCAGCTTGTGGTTTCTCATCCTCAATAAAAACCAAATATACTTAGGACGAAATTAATATAGCCATGTGTTTTGATCTATATAAAAATAAATAATAAATAAAAATTAATGAAGCAATGAGAGCAAAACTCAAAATTTCGTATTTTGTATGTTTACGTAAATGTTCAATCATCCAGTGGGGCAAGGTCCATGCCTCCACTCCATTTCACAGGCGTTTCCATGCATTCTAACTGGCACTGTATATATACAAATATCAAGTCATTACGCTATTGAATTTCAGATTAAATCCACCACTCATGGTGTGTGTTAAGGTTATATTGCTAGCAATCGAAAACATACTATTAGATTCAGAACAAGTAATTTGGATAAATTTTTGCGTGTGAGCACTACTACAATTATGTTAAACTACGACACTCAATAGATGACCATTTATATAAAAAACTGTCGTGATATTTTAAAAGACGACCAATTTTATAACACCGTCCTGGTAAAGTACCTAATACGCCAACATATTAGGTTGATTTTTAAAATTGCGACGATACCTTATCAAGACCGTCGTGTTTTCATGAGGCGCTAAACAAAAATTCACTTTAAGTTCGCGAGCGCGGAGCTTTTCAAAAAACACTCGCTCTCTCAAACACTGTACTATCTCAAATTCTCTCACGAACCCTTCACAAAACCCTCTCTCTCTCTCTCAACTCTCTCTCACATCGATGAAGCACATCTCCCTCTCGCCATCCACCGAACTTGACGAGATCGCCATCTCCGTCACGCCGTTCAGGACACGGAGTTCACCGAGATCGCCATCTCCATCGCGTCGTTCAGTCCACCGAGCTCACCGCGTTCAGTCCACCGAACTCGCCTCGTTCGCCAAAATTTATTCTCTCCCTCTGAAAACGAACCAAGCTCAAGCACTAATTTGAAGGGAAAAACTACAAGTAATCTCTCTCTCTCTCTCTCTCTCTCTCTCTATCTCTCTGTTTTTTTCTTCTTCTTCTTCTTCTTCTTTTTTGATTTTTTTAATTTTTAATTTTTATGATTCATGAATGGATCAGTGAGGGTTTTAATGTCAGATCTGGTTATGATTGTCTCGCGAACACTTTGCAATGGGTATGTTTTATTATGTTTGGTTTATTATCGAAGAAACTGTGTATGTTTTATTTTGTTTGATTTAGGTTCTTCCATTAAAGATGCTGATGAGTTGATTTAGGAATTAGGGCTTTGGGTATAAAAAGCTGGTATGAAATCCACACCATCGACTATTTTAGGGATTTTATATAGAATGATAGTTTTCCATAATTCTATATCACTATTCTGCAGGCAATGCTTTTTTTTTTCTTTCAGTATAATTGTCATGATTAAGTTTCATACAATGTGCAAATGCTGACCTACTTATGCATATTTTGTAGCTTCAACCCAGAGTGGACATGCAACTGGCGATGATTGGCAATAGGAGGTCTATAAAAAAGTGAGATGTCCTGACTTGTTGTCCAATGAATAGATATAAGATTAAAAGAAATCTGGGTTTTATCTATTTGTGTATTTGATTATATATAGGTTTATTGTGAATGTAATGAGCTGCTTTAACACCAGAATGGCAATGAAATTCTTTAGTAGTAGAAAACAGGACATAGCAGGTAACAAAACCTAGGAGTACATTGTTTAGAAGAAAATGCCTTTTACATGTGACATAGGATTGAAAAGGGAACAGAAGGCAGGGTTTTAGAGGGATTGGCCATTTGAGCAGTTATAAAGATTATATTCAGGCTTGATTAGTAGGAATGCTTGTAGCTGCTGGGATAACAGAACATAGCAGTAAGAACCTGTATGGTTAGACAATCAAATTTTCTGTTGTTTTCAGTAGAAGTAAGATGAATTTCACGTATTCTATATGATTAAAATAGAAGTTTAGGGCAGGTTTGGCTATCTTGGTAAGGAAGCTTACTCAGTGGTCAAGAAAGTTATTAGCGTACAACTTTCTTTGCCTTGCTCCACTTGAGTTGTCAATCTCCTTTTTGTGACTTGCAACATGCAAATAGTACATCAACTGACTAGATATTAGGGTACTTTTTGCACATTTAAGTAGTTGATTTTTCAAATTTGCACATTTTAGTTCTTAAATTTGGCCATTTGTGTTAATGTAACTGTGTATTTAATATGTGTAGCTAATTAAGTTTATATATCTGAATTTGGTTTTAATGGAGTTTTTAATGCAGGTTGCTCAAGTGCTTCTCACACTGCCATGCATATTCATTTTCCCAACTGGATTTGCTATATGGGATTCTATTTCAGCTTTTTTATGGGTTGGTGGGAAGCTGGACTGCTTATCTCATCAGTCAACTATATGTTGAGTACAGAACTAGAAGGGAAAGAGCAAAGGTTGATTTTAGGAATCATGTAATTTAGTATACTCCATTATTTAGGAAGTATGTATGTGATAGGAATAAAGATTGATTAACTATGCAATAATATTGAATCTTCAAGTTTTATGAAATAAACAATTTTTGAGTATGTGTTCATTAATAAAACAATATAGTTGGAATTCTAGTTAAAATTGTTGTAGATGACGGATTTACAATACAACAGTCGTCTTCATAGCTAATCAATGGCGATTTTTAGGCATTAATTAACCGCCATCTTTACAAACAATCCACGACGGTTTTTGTAAACAAACCGTCATCTTTATTCATATAATTAATGATATTTACTTCAAACAACGACGGTTTTTAACAAAAACTGTCGTCTTTATATGAAAACAACGACGGTTTGTAACAAAAACCGTCGTCTTTACATATAATAGAAGACGGTTCTTTAAAAAACCGTCGTCTTTACATCTAATAGACGACGGTTCTTTAAAAAACCGTCGTTTATAAGAAAAAAAAAACAGATTAACTTTAAAAACTGAGTAAAAGAAATTGGATATAACAATCCAAGATGCTTTCCCTTTCAGGACACCACAGAGCAGAGACTAGATTATCTTATTTGCATCTGCAAGATTTGGTAATTCATGTGACTTGATTCAGAGGCATCTGTCTGTCGCCCTTTACTAGAATATTGGCATCTACATGTGACATACATCAACTGCTTCTAATTCACACAACTTCTCCTAAACACACACAAAAAAGAAACGTTACAATATTTTTGGAAACATCTCAAGCTGAGAATAAAGCCTGTCCTAGAAATTGTATGGCTCCTAATTAGTTAAATAGAGTTCCTAGCTAGGGTACCAAGACAGCTGACAATAATATACCCCCAACCCAAGCAGATATCTAGGCCTCAGATTAATGTTTCAATTAGGTCGAAGCCTACCCTTCAGCTAAAATAATTGGATAAGTAAAAAACCATGGACGGCTTACAATACAAAGGGTCCCATTTATCTTGAAATTAGTGTTTGATATACATATACTTTTGTAGATATAGATAGGAATATTAGAGGACGGTTGCCCATGCAAAAACCGACTTGCAAGAGAAACAGTTGCATGAAACGAGAATAACACTGTTTTGCTATCTTCAGTCAATATAATGTTATGACAAGTACAATAATTTTTTCACGTGACATAACATTATTAGCCAAAAATAGTGAACTAGTATTTTTCCCGTTGCAACCAAGTTTTGCAACTGCATTTTAAGCTGTAAAGTGGGTTGACTATGTATATAAGATCGTCATGCATCAAAGGTTGAAACAAAGTTATTTTCTCAAACTAATGGAAGTACCCTTCTTACATACAAATGATAGACAAAGAGAAACTTTTATGAATGGATTCTTGTGTTGTGTATGTAAGAAGGTTTTTATTATTAATATATATATATATATATTTTAATTTTGTTGAGAGAATATTATTGCCATGTGAAAACTTAATGGAAAGAAATACTAGTATATAAATAATAAAGTATCTTATTCCAATCCAAAGGAGGCAAAAGAATTATTATATTGGCCAAAAAAAAAAAGGAAAAGAAAAGGGAGAATAAAAACCTGTTAATTTAAGTGGACCACCATCCTTTTGGGCCTGTCTGTCTACCTATTTTAAAGGTCTTGTTTGGCTGTGTTTACGTAGGGGAAGAGATTGGTTATTGGATAAAGCCTCGCACTTTGCAAGCATCCAAACACACCCTCAAGTTCCTAAATCCAGTTGACGACCAACAGCAAAAAGTGGAGGCCCATGGTAACTACGTAAATAAAGCGAATATTCTGAGTCATTTTTAATCGTAAACCCGGGAAAACGCAAATTCGTTCCAAAATTCAAAACCAGAAAGAAAGAAAGAAAAGAGAAAAGAAAAGCGAACGAAAAGAGAGAGAAGAGAACATTCCTCCATCTCCATCTCCAACTCCAAATCCAATCTATGACGATGCGTACACACACCGCACGACCTTTTTTTTTTTTCTTCTCTTTGTGGATTCACTGAGCTGTCCTCCACCGTTACTTTTATGGTCCTCTGCCTCACCAGATTCCATCCCTCCCTGCCTGTGCCGCATGTATGTGTATGCTGCACATATTTATTTATTTATTTATTTGTTGGGTTGAGAAATGAAATGAATTTCATTGTTTTGGAAGCGAAGAATCTCAGTCTTTCTCTACGTCTCTGTGTCTACATTCTAAAATCACTTTCTTTCTCTCTCAGAGATTCTCTTGCTTTCTTTCTTTCTTTTCCCTGGGCCTTTTAATTTTAACGATGCCCAGTGCCTTGTTCTTCTCCCCCTTTTCTTTCGAGCCGTCCGTCACGTAATCCCTCTCTCTATCTCTCTTTCTTTCTCTGAGGTCTCTCTGTGACCGTCCTTTTCGAGGTTCTGGGTGATTCCGGCGAAGCCCTCTCTATACATAGGAGCTTCATTTCCATATCACATGGCTCCCACAGGTGTCAACCAGCTCTCTCACCCTTGTATTTATGGTACAACATACCTGTCTATATATTCATCTCCTCTCTCAATCAAATTAATTCAAGTTTATCAAACTCTGTTTTTTCCTTTGGGCTCTGTTTTTTTTCCTTTCTTTTTAAAAGCAAAAAGAAAGAACGGAAAAGTGGAATTAGTTGGGAGATGTTGTTGAAATTTTTGTGGTAAGCAGGGGAGTTTGTTTCTTCGTACGCAGAGAGGAAGTCACGCTTTATGAAATGGCTCAGTAAACTTTTCAGGAGCGGGCCCGGTCGCGGAAACGCAGCTGGTAGTAATCATCATCCGCAGCTAATTGGCGACGAAAGCATGATTTGGCGGGCACCACCTCGATCCTTGGTTTGAACTTTGAACACCAACCCTCTTCTCTTTTTAGCATTCTTGACTTCTTGCTGCTGTTGTTAGGAGGTTACAAAATTTTGTTCAATTTTGGCTGCAACTTACGTCTTTACTTTTCAGTATAGATTCTAAGATTGGTATTGTATATATGTTCTTTTGAGATTGCAGAAAATGGGGTTTGATAGAATTTTCTCAGCATTAGACTTGATGCCCTGTTAGGCTCTGTTGTGTCCCGTGTTATGCTTTGGGTGTAACATTTCTAAAATTAGTTTCTTTTCGTGATCAGGATGACCGCTCTAGAGCACAGAAGGAGAAAGAGGAATTAGACCATGCAATTGGACTGTCTCTGGCTGAAGATTTGAAGAGACGAAGTGGTAGGTATCTATTGTTCAAGATTTAACTCTGAATTCTACTTTGTGTGTGTGTGTGTGTCTATTTGACAATGTCATAACTGAGGGTTCAACTTTTGATTTTTAATTTCCAGGATATAGATGGCAGGCAGAGAGAGATGAAGAGCTTGCTAGGTCACTTCAGGACAGTTCGAATCCGCCTTTATATCCTCCTTACGCCCCAGCGCCTGCACCGTATTATTCCTATGGAGAAACACAAAGGTAACATTTTTCAGTTGTACTAGTAATTTTGTGCAGCTCAGGGTCCACAGTTTTATCAATTAAAAATCAGTGTTAATGGAGCTTGAAGGTTGTTGCAGCTGTTTATAAAAATTCAAATGAGTTTGTGATCAACCTGAGTCTAAGAGAAGAAGGGAAAATCAACTTCGAGTTTAATTTCACAACTTCCTAATCTTGAATGTTACTGAAGCTTTCCTGTTTATGCCTGAAATTTGCAGAATATGTGGCGGTTGTAAACACGATATACGCTTTGGCAACTATCTGGGATGCATGGGAACTTATTTTCATCCCCAATGCTTCTGTTGTCGTTCTTGTGGTCGCCCGATAGTTGAGAATGAGGTAGCTTGTCTTCCTTGGATTCATATCACTGTATCGATCTCTTTTCTTTGCTTTTATCCAGTTCTTACCGGTGTTTTTCTCTTGATCCAAGTTTTCTTTGTCAGGGAGGGATCCATATCACAAGTCATGTTTTAAAGAGCTGGCCCATCCCAAGTGTGAAGTTTGTCATCAATTTGTAAGATGCTGGGTTATTGTAGCTCATCTAAACTTGGTCTTTGTCATTACTATAGTTATCTATTTTGACATTACTTATACTTGATTTTGAAAATTTTCAGATTCCAACAAATCGAGCTGGTTTGATCGAGTATAGATGCCATCCATTTTGGTCACAAAAATACTGTCCATCACATGAACATGATAACACAGCTCGTTGCTGTAGTTGTGAACGTTTAGAGGTACTAATCTAAGCCAGTGCGATAATTTTTCCAACAAAAATTGTAGTGCCCTCCGCAAAATATTATTGAAATTTGAAAATGAAACACCATGAGCACTAAATCAAATCATTCTGTTGTATTCTTCTCCTCTAAGTCTTGGGATGCAAGATACGTATCGTTGGGAGACGGACGGAGTTTATGCTTTGAGTGTATGGAATCTGCAATCATGGATACCGGTGACTGTCAGCCCCTGTATCATGCCATCAGAGATTATTACGAAGGAATGAACATGAGATTGGATCAGCAAATTCCCATGCTTCTGGTTGAAAGACAAGCACTTAATGAAGCTATTGTAGGAGAGAAGAGTGTAATATTTGATAACCAAAACTGGTTAATTATTTGAGTTTTTTGCTCTGTGGAATTCCTCTAATTCAAAACTGGTTCCTTGCAGGGCCTTCATCACATGCCCGAGACCAGGGGTTTATGCCTTTCTGAAGAGCAGACCGTCACCAGTGTATGATATCAGACAATTTTTATAATTTCTTTTTCCATATTTATTAAAATTGTAATAATTCATGAGCAGAGCTTACCAAAGTTTTTATATATATAATTGTTTCCCTTGATTTCTCTATTTCTTATTAATCAGATACTCAAAAGGCCAACATTTGGGAGGCATCAACTGGTCGGAATAAAAACCCAACCTCAGAAATTGACTCGAAAATGCGAAGTTACTGCCATTCTTGTTCTCTATGGTCTCCCAAGGTAATGTAATTTTAAGACCATATTCTATAATATGCAGAGCATGAAAGCAAAATGCTAACCATAATCTTCTCTCTTCGAAACTGAATGCAGATTACTAACAGGTGCTATTCTTGCGCATGAGTTGATGCATGGCTGGTTACGCCTCAAAGGTAGCATGTATTTCTGAAGCTCTCCCAACATGAACCTCCTCCCTCTATTTTTTTTTTTTTTTTTTGGGATTCATTTTTCTTCTTCAACTGGACTGTGCAGGCTACCGGAATCTTAATCCGGAGGTAGAGGAGGGCATCTGCCAGGTGCTTTCATACATGTGGCTTGAATCAGAAGTAATGCCAGGATTTAAAAACATGCCATCTTCATCTACATCCACATCAGCAGCTTCCTCTTCCTCTTCATCATCGTCATCGAAAAAAGGAGGAAAGTCCAAAGTTGAACATAAACTGGGTGAATTTTTCATGCACCAAATTGCCAACGATTCTTCCCCTGCATATGGAGGAGGGTTTAGATCAGCTAATGCAGCTGTCAACAAGTATGGTTTACGTCGTACCTTGGACCACATTCATCTCACTGGAAACTTCCCATTGTAATAAGGGAAAAATAATGTTCCCTGTTTCTGTCTCTTTGCTGTACACGGCCGCTGAAGATATTATTTGCCCAATCCCAAAGGATTGAGCTCATCACTGAAGCCATGTGAGGATACAAGTCCCGTGTCACTCTTCCAATCAATAATGTTGCTAATAAAATGCATATCTTTCTTTCTTTGACATAAGTGATTCTTATGTTTTCATCATTTGTATGGCGATCAATTACGCGCTTCACAGATGTTAACGAAGTTGTGAGTTCATCGGTTCTGGAATTTTTCCTAAGAGAAGTTTGGTATCTCCTTTTCAGTTGCAAAAGTTTAGCATTTTTCATTATGTAAAACATATCTTTGTATGAGAGCAAGCTTGGGATCACGTGAAAGATTCCCGAATGTGAAGAACAATTCTTGCGAAAGAGAAGCATGTCACTTCAAGCCACAATAAAAAATAAAAATAAAACCCCGGAAAAATATACGGGATACAAAATAAGCTCTACTTCATTTTCTTTTTGAATTCGAAAAAGACAGCAACACATCATAGTTGCAATTTTACATACATGGTATTATGATGGATCAAATACAGTTGCAAGAAATGGGCCTAAGATTTCTCAGACAAGAAAAAGATTGAATATGTTTGAGAATTGTAAGAGAGTGGTGTAGCATTCAATTCTAAGTGTAATATAGGATCGTCAATCTATACATGGAAAAATGTAATTCCCACAGCAGCACCGCAAAACTAACTACCATGAGATTTGTCATAGCAGCTTCTTTCACTCATACCCTCCTTTCCTTTGGCATCACTTCTGAAAGACGGGCATCGACTATAAACCAGCACTCACATCTGATAACAGCATCTTCAATGTCTCGTACGTCATAAAACAAATACCTACACCAGGTACCACCTTGTAGTATTCTGGTAGGATCCCTCTATACAGGCCACGTAAGCCTTCCGTCCTGAATATTTGCTTAAACGTACCAAAAAGGCCTGTTGTGTAGACACGGGCTCGGCCACCGGCCCCTTCCAACTGCTTCCTTCGTCTCACAAGATCCAATGGAAATGTTGCTGCATAATGTAGTGAGAATCAAATGATAAGAGACAGCACCATTCTAGAATAACATCGTACTCTAATACTATTTGAAGACTAGATCTCACAAGGTCATGAAACTTCTTAGGTCTCCAAGAGTTAACCAATCAATTATAACAATGCAAAGACAGTGTAATATGACAAGTCAAGACGCGAAAAAAGACTCACGAAAGAGGACAAAAACCAAGAAAATAAAACTGAAACAGATGATCAGACAAAAAAAATACACTTATCAAGTTCGTCTAGGATGTGTCGCATTTAACTCAAAGAAAGCGTATTCTTGCTATAGAACAAAAGCCACTGCAACAGTATGCCCATGTAAAAAGTTGTACCATGAAAATGAACTCCCATGATTGCTTTCATTTAGCAATATCATTGCAAGCTACAGTATCCATAAACAAGTCACGAGAAAACTGTACCCAAGGGCAGCTTCCAGTAAAACGCCAGTACCAAGGTTGTTCAATGTAAGGAAATATAAATTCTAACAAAACAATTTCTTCTAATGCCCCAGTGACATAAATGGAATGATGTTACACTCAGAATGAGCTTGAATAGTGACACATTTACTCTAACATGCAGTTACACCCAGATAAGTAATATTGCCTGTTACACTACTAGCACTATGCAGCTTGACAATCCAGTGCTAAGTATGATAAATCAGAAGTCATATATTTGAATGAATTTCAGTTTGTTGGGCTTGATAATTGGGTGTTAAAATGTTTTCATTCAGTCAGCAATTTATTTAAAAGCTAAAACTTGCACTATTATGACATAATGAAGGAAAGATAGACTAGAGGGCCTTAAATAAAGTATATTTAGATATTAAGATCCAAGTGAAGGCAACACTAGCCCAAGGCCATCCCTGCAGACAGCAGGGGCTTGAAGGATTACAATACCGAAGAAGCCATTGCAAAAGGAAGCCTAAGTGAGAAGCATACCTCAGAGAGGACACCTCTCACATTTGGTAACTGAGAACATAGGTTCACCTGACAGCAGTGCCACCCTATAATAGAACCGACTGCAAAGCTTTGGGAGACAAGCCACCGAAGAAATGTTGGAAAGATGATGTAAATCAAAACAAGATCTTTATATTAAAAAACTTAAGTTAGCTGAATGATGGAGGAGAGGAAATTTCTTGTCAGCTTCCTTACTAAAATTCTCAAATACCAGATAAAAAAATGACTCCAGTCTGGTTTCTGGCTCTAGGGGTCAGTCTGGTTAGAGACTTGGTGCAGAGCCTGCACCACATCCAGTTTTCTCTGCATCAAAAGCATAGTAAACAGCTATGTGCATTAAGTTTTAAGTAATATTGACATTTCTAATTAAGAAAACTAAATTAACTAAACCAGTTTGTTAACTGTAACAGCACAGTTCTAATTAGATTTGAATGCAAAAGTTCAGATCGGGGTGTTTCACGAAGGTAAACTTAATAAATTATATCTAAAAGATTACATTGCCTAAATAGTAAACAGTGAAAGAAAATGTACGTAAAATTACAGGGGCAAAGAAGCATTATAATCAAGCATCAAGGTTGACACTGACATATTACAAACTATGACTTCCATCATGAACAACAATCACCAGTATATGACACGAAATTAAAAAAAAAAAGTGTACGATCACTCACCTGTTGATGACGCAATTCCTGAAAGGCTCCCACAAGCAAGACTAACCAACACAGTAGAATCATTGGGCCTGATGTAAAGATAATGAAAATAACATTATAATGTTAGGCCAAAACACAGGATCCATGCAAAGGTAATTGTAAGACATTAAGACCCCAGAATTGCTGAATCAATTGATAAAGTAACCACCTATGTGACTGCCAAGAAGCTCTCAAGGTCTCATACACGGAAAAACTGATAGCTATACTGGGCCCGACACCCTGCATTATGGACAGAGCAGTAGTTAGATACGCACAGGAAAACAGAATTCTAACCATAATTAAAGTTACAAAAATATTCAGCATACCAAGAGGGTTGCTCCAAGTCCCTTATAGAGGCCAAAAAGACCCTCATCTCGACTAATAGTTCGCAAAGTTTGCCAAATACCTTTGTAGTACATCACATTTGTCTGCAAAGTTCCAACTAATTAGTAGAGGAGCAAAATGCATATGCAAAAATTATCACTTGAGACGAAGAGCTTTAATTCAGACTAACATATATAGTAAACCAGACAGGACACAATTGTTCAAACTGGAGTTGAATATTTTGCCTTTGTAGCACTGGACTGTAAACTTTCAGGCAAGTTTTAAAAAAAAATATATATATTTCACTCATCCAACTCACAAAGACATAGTACGAACAGAATTGAGGACACATACACTAATGCCCAATGAGAAAGGGCAACACAGCATCCCCAAACATGTCAATCGATGGTTCAACAACTTAACAAATCAGCACATAAATCTATTTAAAAAACAAAGATTGCCTTCCAACCATCTGGTCTCACCTGAGCTGCAAGGCGCGTCCTTACAAGATCCAAAGGATATGTAGCTGATGCAGCTGTTATTCCTGCCAACCCACCACCCACAAAATGTACGCAAAGGTCTGTACTCAAGTTCTCCCTATGATTTTCCAGTCCTGGCATTGTTTGTAGGAACTGTACCACATAAAACTCAATGAATTAAAGATCAAGCAACGAAGCAACAACGCAACAACAAACTAGCTTGAACTGTATCTGTATGAAGGTAACATTAACTGAGTGGCTTTATCAACCTTTTTATAATGTTCGTATGCATAGAAATTGACAGAAGAATAAGGAAGACGATGAGCAATTGTAACCAGATTTCCTTTCCAGAAAGCTCTAAATCCTTCTTCACCAGCAATCCTTGAGGCCTCACGCCATATGCTAGCCTTTCTCAATGTTGCAACATCTGAGTGCATTCCTTGCACCTAAAAAGATAGCATCATATCAATAAAGCAGTTCTTGGTAAAATTAAGCATAACACAGCGTTCACTAACCTCATAACAAAACCCAATGTTCAGTAACCCCAAAAATACTATATTCAAAGTCCACTTTTAACCCAAACTTTCATTCAACAGAATACAGAAAGCCCCTACTTTCATGTGAAAATAAACCACAACAAATATTAGCAGTAAAAAATATCAGCTTGCGAAAGCAAACGTTAAGAAAAGAAAAGACTTTACCTGAAAAAGAATGGTAAGGCGAGCAAGAGGCGCCGTACACGTTTTACTAAGAGCTCCGGCAACACCTCCGGCGAGAAGCTGCGACACCGTTCCAATCTGAGACTGTTGGTGAAGAGGCTTCGGCTGTTTCTGTGGCAGGGACTGCGCCAGTGTTCTCACACCCCCTTCGACCGCCACGCCTCCATGCCCAGTATTCAGAGCTCTCTGCCCTCCTTCCACCACCACCCCAACTCTCGCCTCCGTCTGCATTTCAGTATGCCCTAGAATCCCCTATCTTCGCCACGAAGCAACCTCACCCTCAATAATCGAATCTAGAAACAATTGATTGTTGTCAAAAACCCTAGAGATCAGTAATTGCACGAACCCCGACGCAGTTTTCCGCTTCTGCTCTGGAGCTTCATTTCTTTGTCTGCTCTAACTTTGCCTAATTTGAACGCAGGACGGGGGAGAAGAATGTCCAATCCGACGTCGTTGCGGCCTCTTCAGCGCTGCGCTGCGTTTAGTTAAAAAGTTAGGGTTTGCGTCATCGAGAACTTGCCTGGTCCGCAGTTTCGTTCCTGTGCGTTCAGTTATATCGTAGCAGGAGACAGACACCCAGTTGCAATTGGCAAGCGCAAATATATTTTGATAATAAATAAAGGTCGGTGATTGCTATTTGACAATACATTGAATCTGAAAATTTTAACCGGTCTTAGCGTCTTACAATAAGACTGGGCGCAGACAAATTTCGCACACGCGGAATATCTGATAATTTTGATTTCGAATATGCTTGCATTTGGAGCTAAAGTTCGACTTCGTAGGCGTGTACTGGTGACAGCTGGTAAAGAGTAACTTTGATGTAATAAGTCGGTTTATTATGGTTCTCCACTACGTGGCTGCCAGGTAGCATTCTTGAAAATCTACGACTTCTACCTTTTTGTCTTTTTTATTTTTTTTTCAACTACCGACCAACCCTTCCCGCAATATCATGTGTGTTTTACGCATATCCACTATAACTATTGAATTATTATTATTATTTATTTACTTAATTTCATTTATGAATCGAGCACCGAGTAATTTCTCTTAATCGCTCAAGCTACAAGCTCCTATATGCATTTTATACTTTGCTTGTTTCTCAGTCAAATAAACCTAACTTGATGACGTCTTGATAAACTTTTTCTCTGCTTTATAAAGACCATGTATTTCACTTTTTTATCTTCTCATGCGCCCACTGATTAGGGTTGATGGCAAATTAAAGCAGAATTTGGAACACGATACCACCTACTTATCATGCCCCATTGTGGGTTGTGACTTGTGACGATAATGCCAAACAATCAGAAATATCTAGAATTCATCACATAAACTATGATAAAGCGACAATGCCTTGCCATTAGCTCAAACTTCTCCACTGTTCATTAGCAATTTAATTAACAAAAAGCATGCCCCTGTAGCTTGCGTCCCTTTACACCCCAGCCAGCATAACCATTTTATAGCGTCCAACATGCTCATTTTTTGGCTTGAAGACTCAATACTAAAGAAACTTCATGGCTTCCTCCATAAGCTGAATTCCTCCTTTGTGTCTGATCACTCTGCTCGGGCACGCCGCGGTGGTCGTTTTTTCTAGAGCGTTTAGTTTGGGTGTCTTGAGCATTTTGGGTTGATGTTATTGGGGGCAAAATCCCCAGTTGGAGTGGTAACTCTAAACAAGGGTGAAGAGATGTGTCTGAAGTTGTTTGAGCCTGCTGTGTTTCAAGAACGTGTATTTCTTCCACCATTGGTTTCCAGATTCTTACTCTTGAATTGATAAACCAATTAGAAACCTGCATTCATTTTTTCTTATATGGTCAAATTTCAATCACCAATTCAAATAGAAATGACCCCCAAAAGACTTGGTCAAGGTAGGTCACCTGAGTTCTTGATAGGCCAGTCTGTTGAGCCAACATTTGCTTTTCAGAATCAGAAGGGTAACTGAGATGAACAAAAACCCAAGTTTCATAAGACCAATGTATTGAATTGAAATATACCTATTAAATTATTGAGAAATCACTCACGGGTGAAGGAAGTGTTCAAAGAGCCATGTCCTCAGCACAGCAACTGCATGCTCAGGAAGTCCTCTTTGGCATCGCAAGGCAGATTGATGAGGGTTGTTGGTCAAACTCAGATGACTTGGGTTTTGGCCTCCATCAGAGGAGCCCCTAGCTTCACCTTTAACATGGTCAAAATCATCAGCCAGAGGCTTCTTGCCTCTGGTTTGAAGCTTGTCCAAAATGGCATTCTTCAAGCACCCGAAGTGCTTCAAAATGGCTTTGATAGCAAAAGATATGTAAGGGGCTGCATCTCCAAGCCCATCAATGGTCTCAAATGATGCCACCACTGACTCCATCTGTTGGCAGTACAGTTTATACTTCTTGTACACCTAAAGATCACACCGGAAAAGTGAACACAACATTATGAGACTTGGGCTCCAACCCTAATTTAATTTGGGCCTAAAAACTCAAATGGGCCTCTCCGGATATATATGCGTCGAGTCAGAGCTTTGTATAAAACTCATATCTCTTAACTGTTAGATCAAACTACGCGATTTGATGCAACACTACTCCATTTAATTCAACGCCTAAAAGATAGGGTCTCGTGAATTCTACTATATGTGACATTTGATTTCGGCAGAGCATATGTCATAAAAAACAATGAACAGTTGAAAAATTAAATTGTGACAAGACAATTCATCTTTTTTGGCCATGACCAGTGACCTGACCACTAACCATATCAATCAAATGATGCGACACCTTGGCAGCAAACAATCAATCAAAGTTCCATTCAATCCAATGTGATAAACCTGCTTATATTACTTTATAGTTACATTTTTCATCACCAAAAATACAATCCAAAAAAAATCCAGGCTAATTTTAATGAACCAAGATTTTGTTTTAAAAAAAAAATTAAATAAAAAAAACTTAACCAAGATTAACATACAGTTGATTAGAAATTCAAAACATAATTTGTCACATAAATATTTTATATTTTCAATTAAGGTGTATCGTATTGTACCTCCTCCAGCATGATTGTCAGCCTAGAGTTCTTCAACTGAACCTCAACCCGATCATCAGTTGTCGGATCTTTGACCCTCCCGCTCAAATAGTTCGGCGGAGTGGGATTCGAGTCGGATCGACCCGACCCGCAGAAATCTTCAAGGAGCTGCTGAGCAGGCTTCAGAAACCTGGAGCGCTTCAGTACTGAAGCGTAGCCCGTGAACGGGCCCAGAGGAACCGATCTTCTGAGTTCATTAGGCCGACGTAAAGCGTCGTCGTTCTGGTGGGAATCCGAGAAGAAAGGATGAGAAAATGGTGGGTTAGATGTTGGTTTGTGGGGGTGAAAGGTGAAGCTGGTGTTGGCTGCAGGCATGGCGAGAGTGGGTGTGAATCGTTGTGGTGGGTTGTTCTGAAGAGTGACTCGGAGCTTGTCTCTTCTGCTTTGTTGGGGGACGTGGAAGGCTTCGAAACCCTCATCCGCCATGATTGAATTATGAAGCTTTTGAGAAGAGAGAGGCGAGAAATTGATGAAGGAAGAAAAAAGTCTTGAGCTTTGGGGCAGAGTGTAACATGATGGTGCAGTGTTGCAAAATATTGTACCAAGAAAGAAACAGAGGCTTCGACGTGATGGATTAGAAAAATATTATTTCTTTTTCTCTTTTGCAATTTTGTTTCCACTCTCATTATCTGCATGTGCTATTGACTGTTTTAAAATCACAAAAGAATCGTTTTACATACAAATCACAGTAATTTAAATACATGTAGAACGCAGACGTTGATTAGGCCAGTTAACTACTAACTAATCGGTGCTCAATTTTCTAAATTATGCATAAATTCAAGGCATAGACTGATTAATTCCATTACACATCAGCGACAACAACCGCCCTTCTCTCCACATTTTTGTAAGTATAGCCCCTCGCCAACAACCCATAAAAGCACAAATTCAAACCATTCATGGCTGCCAAAAGCCAGTAGAAATTGTCCAAGCGGCTAGAATTCAAGTCCTTGCCAAACCAACTTCTCCCACCCTTCTCTGTGACATGATCCACAGCCATGATCAGAAAGCTGCTTATGAAGCTCCCAACCCCAATCACACTCAGATAAAAAGCAATACCCAGGCTTCTCATTGAGTCAGGAACTTGGTCATAGAAATACTCCTGCAAGCCAACCAGAGTGAACCCATCTCCAAGCCCAAGAATTATGTACTGTGGAGCTAACCAGAACACACTCATAGATTGTGGCTCATCAGCTTTTAGTCTTCTTCTTTCAACTAATGCTGCAGCTGACATTGCCATCACTGAAAAAATCATCCCAAATCCAATCCTTTGCAGGATGTTGATGCCCCTTTCATTGCCTGTGGCTTTTCTTAAAATTGGAACAAGAATCTTGTCATAGACTGTGACAGAGATTAGCATTGCAATGGCCCCAAGAGAATATATGGAGGCTGGAGGGATTTTGAAGTTGTCAGTGATGTTTAGGTTCATTGTAGCAGCTTGTTTGACGAAGAATGTTGGGGCTTGTGCCAGGCATACTCCAAATGCTAATGAAGTTAGCCATATGGGGATCATGTTCAAAATAAGTTTCGCCTCCTCCACCTTTGTTAGCGTTGTCAATCTCCAAGGATTATGTTTCTGTTCATAAGATGTGCTGACATGCTCTTCAATTATCGCAGCCTTGTCTAGAAACCTACAAATCAAAGCTAATTAGTAACAGCTATCGAGTGTTGCTATTTGAACCACATTTACTAACGACTTTTGCGGTCAATATTAATGTAGTAAGTAATAGGCACATAAAAAGTACATTGTACTTATATAATAAAGGGCTATGCTTTGCTTACCTAAGCCTATTTGTGTGAAGTAAAAGCCTTCCTTGGCAGTGCTTCTGAGACTTGGGAAATTCAAATAGCAAAGCAGGGCTTGAAGGATTGGGTAAGTTTCTTTTTCTTATGGCTGCAACCAATACCTGCAGCATTGGTACCAAAGGGCTTCCTTCTGGCACCCTATACCTATAAAAAGCCTTCCCCATGTAGAAGGTCACAATGGTAATAGCCATGGTGATTGTGAGAATGAGATCTGCAACACCCCAGCTCACATAGTCTTGAACATAAACAATTACTGTTACACCAAGAAGCAAACCACAACAAAGTGCAAAGTTCCACCAGTTGAAGTAGGACATTTTCTTCTTTCTTTCTTCCAAGTGATCGTCGTCAAATTGGTCAGCTCCAAAGCTTTGAAGGCATGGCTTGTGCCCTCCAGTTCCAACAGAGATGAAATACAAGGCAATGAAAAGTACCACTTCATGAATTTTTCTAGGCTCTAGACACATCTTTGTATTGCAGGGCTTTAGACTTGGGATAAACTGTGACATTGTCAAGAGACTTAGGCCCTGTTGATTTTTAAATAATAACCATGATTAGTGATGATTAAATATATAATTAATGTCTAATTAGAATTGGGACTGCATGTATTTAATTATTACCATTATATATATGAGGGATGAAAACAGAACCATGTTGAATCGGCCAGTGTAGGCGTCTGCTAAAAAGCCTCCAGTCAGAGGCATTATGGTTGTGACCCCTGCCCAGAAGTTCACATTTTTGGCTGCTGTTTTGATGTCTTGATGAATCACTTGGGTGAGGTAGGAGATGAGATTTGTTGCTATTCCAAAGTAACTTAACCTCTCACTAAATTCAATAGCTACAAAAAAAAAAAAAAAAAAAAAAAAAAAAAAAAAAAAAAAAAAAAAAAAAAAAAAAAAAAAAAAAAAAAAAAAATCTGCAGTTACATTGATATGTAAGATTACGTAGCTATAAAAACAAGTAAAAAGAAAAAGAGATTCATTGCCCAATTAAGCCTTCTTGTGTTAAATCAAACGTAAACATGCACAGAGAGAGAGAGAGAGAGAGAGAGAGAGAGAGAGAGAGAGAGAGAGAGAGAGAGAGAATGATAAAGAGAGAAGCTTTCCATACGCCAGTTGAAGCACGGAGAGGAACTCTTCCTTTATGATCTACAGACGAATCATAAACCCAATTCCCATCGTCCCTGTTAGTATTTATTTCTCCTCTTCTCTTCTCCATTTCTGGCTCCATCTCCTAATTGGTAATGAATGATGTTAAGGAAACAAAGATATATGGTACTAAAACAAACTACAAAGATAAGAGAAGATATTTTGTAGGAAGAGAGAGCTTTTGTGGTTAAGTTGTGTGCTTTCTTTTCACTGCTTTTATAGTTCAGGGATTCTATATGAAGAACTGAGATATGCAAATAAAATAAAATCACATTTGCATACCTACTCTACTGATCTACTTTTCTGATCATCTTCATTGTCCTTTGGTTCCCTGCCTACATTTCCAATCTGCTGTTTTCCAGCATATATCTAACAATATAGTTCATTATATATACTGGTGGAGAACTGAGGCTGAGATATGGCCAATAACATTATGACAACAAAATATGACCAATAATAAACTGGTATGCCCCATATGAGGAGAAACACTTACATGAAACGGGGATAACACTATTTTGCTATCACCAGCTAATCACGGTATGCCACGTATGATAATTTTTCCTTGTGGCAATCTGTGATTGGCCGGAGATAGCAAAACAGTGTTATCCCGTTTCATACAAGTTTTTCTGCCATATGAGGTGGGTTTTATCTAAAAATGCAGAACTGGTCCAAACTTTTTTTTTTTCAACTTTGACTGCTAAAAGTTTTCAAATTTGGACTAGTATGTGACCAATAAACTGACACGTTTGTTTTTATTTTGGACTAGCAGTAGGCCACTAGCAGTGAATGTTTGAACTTTTATATGATAATGTTACTTAAAAGATGCTCTGTGAACATAGAGCTTAATTGGTTTGGGAAGAAAAGGAAAAAAAAAGCATCTCAAAATGCAAAGACCATCATTGGGTTCATGAATAACTTTGGAGTTAAACTGATCTCCAGCTACAGAGGAGCTAGCTTGAAATTAAAGGTTAATCTACAGATTCTTATATTCCACCGCCACCTTGTGTATATTATAGAATTGAAAATTCTTCTTTGTATTCTCTTCCCCCTTGGATTCAGATGAACTACATCAGCTGGTGTGGATAAAGAAGAGGTGCAAAAGACACAGAATTTCTTCTAGAAGTTTTGATTGGATACAATTTCACACATATATGAGTAAACCCTATGACTTTTAAGGTGGTCTTTGGTGGCATATATTCCAAGTGGCTTGCGAAAGCAGATCGTGAAAGAACCAAAAAAAAGTTTGGCATCTGCTTTTGTGGGGTGTTTAGCAATACAGACTGTTTCCTTCGATATGAGATCAAAATATTCCAAAACTGCTGACATTTTTTAAGGACTAGGATTCTTTATCATTAGATTAAATTTCTGGAACATCATAAGTTTGATTTTAATCACTCTTTTTACTTCGAATTATGCCCTTTCCACATTAGATAACCTTTTCTATTAGGGAAATTTTGAAAGCTAATCAATTTGTTTCAAGCCCCTCGAGCAGTGAAGACTGTTACACGGTTGAGGTTCCTGTTCTTTCTTTTCCTTTTCTTTAAGAGCAATGATTTCCCCACTCCTATTTTATCCACTTACACTCCTTTTTTAGTTATAAAAAAGGAGTGTAAGTGGATAAAATAGGAGAAAAATGAGTGGGGAAATCACCACTCTTCTTTAATACAATTTGTAATTCTTGGATCAGTGATCACAAAGAAACCAAATCATTGCTTTATCACCCGAAGTTCACTCCCTCAACTTTTTTAGAAGTTTGATCCTATAGGCACCAACACTGGCACCGGCATCATCTTCACCACTGGTATTTGCCTGTACTACCATACTTTAATCCTTTTACAAATTCAAATGTTGTATATATAATGAAAATTGTAAACCACTAGATTTCAATCCCCTCATTTTGCACTATGCATCCATCCAAATTCCAGATACTTGTCACTCCACAATGCACTGTGGAACATATTTTTCATGTGTTTTTCACCAATCATTTACAGCACATCATATTTGCAACTACATTTTCATTTGTCAAGAAGTAACATGGAAAGATTTATTGCAGTATCAGGTACATACATTCACAAGATCAAAAAGAATAAAGAGTTAAAACAAGAAGAAGAAAACAATCATACGAAACTACAATTACAATGCTTCTTTAATCTAATCCCTCCCTATACCAAGACTCTGATTACCCTCCCATACTTTCCAGTACCAGAGAAAAATCAATAGAGACAGTACAAAGGCTGTCGTGATCATCTTCAACTATGGTTCACTAAAACCCTGCCCTTTTGCTTTGGCCTCTACAGGTAAACACATGAAACGAAACCAGAAAATAGACCCCATTTCTGTAAACAAAAACAAAAAATTGTATATGTTTGCCTACTCTTCTTTCCCTCTTGTAGAATTAGCGATACCTTGTCAGTTAGAGCAACAATTTCTCTTATTCACGTCACCGGATAGATTTGCAACATTGATGGTAGTGCCATGAGGAAGTCCAGTAGTGGAAACTGCCTCCTGTGCTGCTAGTGCCTTCTTGCTTATTATGTGGTAGATATCCAACAAAATGGTTTGAAATGCATTCTCAACATTGAAGGCTTCCAATGCTGAAGTTTCAAGGAAAGAGAGGCCTTCCTTCTCAGCCAACAGTTGAGCATCTTCTCCTGGGACTGCCCTCAGGTGATTCAAGTCAGATTTGTTACCGGCCATCATTATGACAATGTTAGAATCTGCATGGTCTCTCAGTTCACGGAGCCACCTCAGCACATTGTCAAATGTTTGCCGTTTGGTTATGTCATAGACCAATAGTGCACCAACAGCCCCTCGGTAGTAAGCACTGGTTATGGCTCGGTACCTTTCTTGACCTGCTGTGTCCCATATTTGTGCTTTCACTGTCTTCCCCTCTACCTGCATCAGAATAAATTTCAGTAAATGTGTTATGAAGTAAAGTGTACACAAGGCCACTGAGGAGTGAGAAGCAAACAGCTATTCATGAAAATTTTAATGCTTGAAAAGAGCAAAAATCATTTGATAGTTGTTCCCATTTCATCATGTATCTTTTTGCAATACCATACATATACAAAACTATCATCTCCTTTGGAAGTTGTCTAAGAGATTTTTGACATATACATTGGCTGCTTTACTGTTCATAATAAGAGAACACCCTCAAAACCCTGCACACAGCCCTGCCACTAAACACTTGAATTGTATCTTGAAATTGGCCAAATGTCACCAAACAATATATAAACTGCAGAATGACGGTGGTTCTACAAACAACAGTGAGGGGTTTCCTTTTCAAATAGCTTTTCATCCTTAGAGCCTCACAAGCTATATATATATATCACCGCTAAAGGTGATGCATCACAAAAATCAACGGGCAGACTCATATGCAGGGAAAAAAGATTAAACTTTACATACTCCATCCATTCCATACTATCACCATGGAAACATAAATGATTATTAAATCCAAGAGAAAATAAAACACGAAAGTAAAACAAATAAATTTTACAGAGTTCAGAAGGCAAATTTGCCTAGGGAAAATGAAATTTACTATCATCAACAATTCTATAAACTTTGCCTACAAAATTGTAAGCATTTCCCACAATTCTATAAATGACCAATTATTATTCTTTCAACACTGATGTTCAAAGACAGCAAAAAAATACAGAATTGAACAATCCAAAAGCAGGAAATTGCAAATGGTCAATTTCCAAACAAAGACAAACCAACCTGCAATGTCCTAGTTGCAAATTCAACTCCAATGGTGGACTTAGACTCCAAACAAAACTCATTCCGCGTAAATCTCGAAAGAATGTTCGATTTTCCGACGCCCGAATCTCCAATCAATACAATCTTGAAGAGGTAATCATATTCGTGATCTACTTTGTACGCCATACGTTCTACTCCTCACACCACACCAGACCTGCAAGATCCAGTACACCAAAATCCCACAACAAAAACAATTAACAATCATAAAACCCAATTTTTTTTTGTTCCCATTTGCTTATTTTATCGGGAAGGAGAAGAAAAAGGGTTCTGATCAGAGAGCATTTTCCTTTACCTACGTTTCCTTCCCAATATGATTTTCCTGAGAAACAAACGGTGAGTGAGTAACAAGAGAAGAGACTAACCACAAAAACAATGGCGTGCAGAATGGCGAGAAAGAATGAATCTTTTTTAAACGGGATTTGAATATTGGTGGGTTTTCTTGGGGATGTTTTCGCATTGAAGTTTGTGGAAACAGAGACGAGAGAAGAAGAAGAAGAAGAAGAGAAGGAAAGGAAAACGGATGAAAATGCACTCAAAACGGACGAGCGGAATTCGGAGAGTCTGTGTCAAATAAACGACCCTTCAGACGACATGTCGTCCAGTTAACCAAGCCTCGCTTAAAACTTTAAGCCCATTCTCAAGGCCCAAGGTGTATCCAGGCCCACTTTGATTGGCCGTTGAAGAGCCCCATTGTGTTTCTTATTTTATTTTTGGCCTTAAATGTTAAAATAGTCTCCGTGTTGGCCAATTTAATCCCTATGTTTTTAATTTGGCCAATTTGATCTCTGTGTTTAGGACCGTTAGTCAATGTGATCCAATCATTAAATTTATATTAAAAAAATTTAAGAAATGTTTAAATATTAATAAAAAAATAGATACATTTGAATTCAATTTAAAAATAGATAATTAAATAAGATCTAAAATTTTGGTCTGGGCTCTTAGTCCCCTTGTTACCAAAACCTTAAAAAATAAAAAATAAATAAAAATCCGTGGCATCATATTTTTGACACAAGTTTTGACACAATTTTTGGACCATTAGATTACTCAATTTTTAATGGTTGAGATTAAATTAGACATGGCAAATAGTTTTAATGTTTTAAATAAACAATCATTAATTTTATTTTCTCTCTCATAAAAATAAAATAAAATAAATTTCTCTCTCCTCCATCTCTTTTCTTGATAGTATCCTTTTTTACTTGGTACTCTAATCTCTCTTCTTTCTCATGCATACCTCTCTCTCTCTCTCTCTCTCTTTCCTGGGACCAAAAGGAACCTCCATCTTTTTATTTTGGCAAAAATTACTAGTGTATGGTATATTTGAGAAAACAAAGAACATAATGTATGGTATATTTGATTATTTTTTTTTAAAAGACAGAAAAAAAATATGTATGATTCATGTGGCAAATATCAAACATTAAATTTGAATTTGATGACTTATGTTGCAATTTGATATATATATATATATATATGATAAAGTTTTACATTCCACCTGACATGTGAAATTAAATATTATTTTATTATATGTATTTTTATTAGTTTATAACAATTTAAGCACGTTAATTGAAAAATAATAATAAAATAGTGAAATGACATCACAAGGTCAAATAGCCAAAAATAACAATAAGAGAGACGTTATTTTATGTAGGATTTAACATTTCGGTTGAAGTGAGTTTCAATTTATTTTTCTACTCGTTGAATTTAACATCTTCTTTAGAGATGCTCTTAGTTTCTTGTTTTATGGGTCTTCCGGTTTCAAACGAGCTTGGCGGTTCTCCTGACCACCGTGTGGCTGCAACGGCTGGTGGCTTCAATACCCACATCTAGTAGTACTCGGTGCTTAATGCTTATTACAACACTTTTGATCTGTACTAATCAAACATTATTATTATTATTACTACTACTATTATTGCTTTAAAAAGTGCTTTTAGTTATTTAAAAGCACTTTTAACACTGTCATGATGAGCAATGAGCATTATCAAACGCAGCGTTAATCAAACACTCTGAAATGACCACAAGGGTTGGCGTTGTAGTATAAAGCAGAATAATGTCTAATATGATCCAGGAAACTATAGCTAGACACTATATAATTCCTAACTTGAGTTAGTTTATGTTCAGCAATATTGCACAAGAACCTCTCCTACTGCACAGCTACAAGAGAAGCTTCAATGGCTTTGCTGCAAAGCTAACAGAGGAAGAAGCTCAGAAAATGGCTGGTTGTGGATCTAGCTTTCTTTCCAATTTGCATAAAAAGTACTGACCATTATAAATTTATATCTAACTGGAAGCTTGTGTGTGTGTGTGTGTGTGTGTGTGTGTGTGTGTGTATATATAGGAATGGCTGGTGTGGTGTCTGTTTTCCCTAGTGGGAAGAAGAAGCTCCACACAACAAGGTCATGGAACTTCATCGGGTTTCATGAAAACGTGAAGAGAAGCACTGTTGAAAGCGATATCATCGTTGGGATGATCGACTCTGGAGTTTGGCAGGAATCTGCCAGCTTCAATGATGCCGGGTTCAGTCCACCACCCAAAAAATGGAAGGCACATGCCAAGGCTCATCCAATTTTACTTGCAACAAGTAAGGCTAATATACTAGACCTATCATGTTGGTAGATAATAAATGTAAAAATTATCCGTTTTATGTGATAATTGATTGACGTATTGTTGCTATGGTTGAAACAGCAAAATCATTGGAGCACGTTACTATCACAATGGTCGACCTTTCGTCAAAGGTGACATCAAGTCTCCACGAGACTCGAATGGCCATGGAACCCACACTACATCAACGGCGGCGGGAAACTTTGTTAGCAAAGCAAGCCTATTTGGTTTGGGGTCGGGGACAGCAAGAGGAGGGGTCCCATCAGCACGTATTGCGGTGTACAAAGTAAGCTTGGTCGGATGGTATTAGTGACAATGATATTCTAGCGGCATTTGATGATGCGATCGCCGATGGTGTCGACATACTATCTCTCTCCCTTGGACCGATGTCTCCGGTCGATTATTTCAGGGACGCAATTTCCACTGGAGCCTTTCACGCTTTAAGAAAAGGAATTCTGATTTCCACTGCTGTTGGGAACTACATTCCAGGCCCCAAGACCATCGGAAACTCTGCGCCATGGTTTCTTTCTGTGGCTGCAAGCACCATAGATCGGGAGTTTGTTACCAAGGTTCAATTGGGTAACCAAAAAATTTATAAGGTACAATTAATAGAATCTGTAGCTAATTAACCTGCCCTCAATTAAGCAATTGAATTAATATATTAATTTGCTTCATTGTCGTATATAGGGAATTGTAACAACACATTTGACCTCAAGGGCAAGTTCTATCCTCTAATATATGCTGGAGACGCACCCAATAGGACAGCAGGCTACGACGAGTCTACATCTAAGTAAGTACAATTATACACGTTGTGTAATATTTATGGGATATAGTTTCAGTCTGATAATAATATGTATGGTGGTACCGTACAGGACATGCGAACCAGGCACGTTAGACCACAATTTGGTGAAGGGCAAGATTGTTCTTTGCGATGGGACGACTGGGTATGGGGCCTATTTTGCAGGTGCAGTTGGAGTTATTTTGCAAAGCCGACCTGTTGCGGATGTGCTTGACCCTCTTCCCATGTCTGCCTCTTGCCTTGGTTTGGATAGTGGTAACAGCATTTACTATTACATTAACTCAACAAGGTACACACAAATATTATTTGTAACTTTTGAGCTAAACCAGATCAGAATGAGGTTAATAAATTTTGAATATTGTAATGATTAATTTGTAGGAACCCAACTGCAACAATTTTTAAAAGTACTGAGGATATTGACACACTGTCCCCATATGTGCCATCCTTCTCATCAAGGGGTCCTAATCCAGTCACTCCTAACCTTCTCAAGGTTTGTACGTAATTACTTGGAACTTGAACACTCAAGACTGTTTTATTTTATATATAATTAGCTAGCTAGGCTGCAGCACTTCATCTCTCCTTAATTTTTCTCCTCGTTATGTTGCAGCCAGATATAGCTGCTCCGGGAGCTTCTATTTTGGCAGCATGGCCTCCAATTGCCCCGCTTTCGGATTATCCAGGAGATGACAGAGTAGCATCATACAATGTAATCTCAGGGACATCAATGGCTTGCCCACATGCCACGGGGGTAGCTGCATACGTCAAATCATTTCACCCCAACTGGTCTCCTGCTGCTATCCAATCCGCTCTTATTATTACCATCCGTTATTATGAGAGAATAATTATTTTAATTACGTCCAATTTTAGTACGGCCTAACCACGTATATCTTGGATTATCTGTAACGATTTTACAGCTAAACCCTTGAGTCCCGATCTTAACCCTGAAGCCGAATTTGCATATGGAGCTGGCCAAATTGACCCTATTAGGGCTCCATATCCTGGTTTGGTATATGATGCTACTGAACTGGACTACATAGAATTTTTATGTGCACAAGGCTACAGTACCAAATTATTGCAATCTATTACAGGGCACAAGAGTAGCTGCTCATCAAAAACTAATTATGGAGCACTCAGTGATAATTTGAATTATCCTTCTTTTGCACTTTCCTTCTTGAATCCAAACTCCATCAGTGGGGTTTTCAATAGGACAGCCACAAATGTTGGATCACCAAGGTCCACATATAAAGCTAAAGTGATCGGTGCAACGAAAGGACTTGAAATAAAAGTTAATCCAAGCATTCTATCTCTCGGGCAGAAGCTATCCTTTCAGGTCACGGTAAAAAGGTCAATTCATCACAAATCCAATGTCTCTGCTTCTCTGGTGTGGGATGATGGTACTTTCCAAGTCAGGAGCCCCATTGTTGTCTATGCTATATATTAAGTGGTGCATGGATCATGTAATCCTGTATTGATGTAAGAAAAAGAAAAAGAAAATTGCATTATTGAGGATCAATACTTGTTTGGAGTGATCACATGCAAATCCCATCCCTCGTTGTTGTTGTTTTTGTTATTTTTAGGACATTTTCTATTGAGAGAGGCGATAACAGACTAAAACTCACACATACTATACGGATGCTAGGACTCGAACCTAGGATTTTTCCTAAGAAGGAGCATTTGCTCCAACCATTACAGTAGTGGGTCATTTGTTGTTCTTGTTTATGCTTAAATAAACTTCATTGGGGCTGTACGACAAATGATTCCAACAATTTTTTTTTCCAGTTAAACCCATGAGTGCCAAACTTAATTCTGATGCCGAATTTGCATACAAAGCTGGCTAGATAAACCCTATCGAGGTTCCATATCCTAGTTTGGTATATGATGCTGCGGAAACAGATTACCTCAAATTTTTGCGTGCACATGGCTACACCAACAAATTTGTTCCCATTTGCTTATTTTAACGGGAAGGAGAAGAAAAAAGGTTATGATCCGAGAGCATTTTCCTTTACCTACGTTACCTTCCCAATATGATTTTTCTGAGAAACAAACAATGAGTGAGTAACAAGAGAAGAGACTAACCACAAAAACAATGGCGAGAAATAATGGATATTTTTTAAAC